AATGGCCACAGATCCTCCCCTAGCCTTCAAGATAGGCCCAAGAAGTAAGAACCCACATTCTCAATCCTAGTGAAAAGAATAACAGACAAAAATGCATAGAGACAACTTACAGGACTTAAAGGATCTGCTACCGACAGCTTGGTGCCAGATACCACAGCTTACCCTTTGATGTCTAGTGGAGTCCATGCCTCTACAGGTTATGGTGGGTGCTCCTAAAGTTATGGCTGATCAGTGTAAGTCTATAACTGCCTATTACTATAGATCATAAATAACAGTGGAGGATGGTGATCCAGCGAATCAGGAAGGAATTTGTCACTGTTGGATGGAAATTGGACCATTGGATGGAGGTTTCAGGGGATGGAAGGTGGTTTTTTTTTTTTTTTTTTTTTGTTTTTTTTTTTTTTTTTTTATGGCATTTTGTTGTTTGTTTGAATTTGATGGAAATGTATCTGGCTACGTACGTGTTTCTGGGTCAGAAGGAATAAAAGTCAGACAACCAAAAACTAGGAAACCAACTGAGGCACGTACACACTTGAGAGGTCGGTAGCAAAATGCTCATCAACCAAAAGTCCCTTGTGATATAACGGTGACTGTTCACATATCAGCACTCAAGACATTTGGTGCCCAATGCCTAACACTTCAAAAGCAACATGTGCTAATTGTGCGGCATAACTAGGTGTTTTTGGACCCATGGACTTTAATTGGAACAAACTGAGTTCTCTTCTTAAAGCAAAAATGCCTGAAATTTGAATACACATTCTGAAATACACTTCTAAACTGATTGTAACATACACAAGCACGCTGAAAAAAAAAAAATATATGCCTGAAGCCACATTGAAAATTGTTGAAAACCCCCACGCCTTGTTAGGAAGCAAAAACCATTGGTATCACCCCTGTAATGTTCAGAGTAAGCATCCAACATTTGTTTTTTTTTTTTTGTTGTTTTTTTTTTTTGCATTCCAACAACAAGGTAATGCTAACTGGGAGTTTTTTCCACCAGGCTTTTAAGGGCCTTCAGGTTTGACAGTCCAATTAGTGAACATTGTACAGAGCTGCACAGCTTTTTTTTACCTACTGGGACCCCTTGATTGCTTAGACAATTTTCTGGAAAAGATGAACTTTGCCTTTGAAGCAGAGTAAACTCCATGACCTACCATAGGCTGTACACATTCAGGTCAGTTCTGGGGGGCGTTCACAGCACCATACAGAACAAAGGGCCCATTCAGACAGATGCCCGTTGGCTAGATTTAGGAAGTTACCTTGTGAACAGGCACAATTAGATTTACACCCTTGCGCAATCATGCTAGTGTATTTTCCTCTGCTCAGGAAGCCCAGGTGCTACGTAACACTAAACTGGTGACCTATAAGGAGCTTTAAAAGTGTCAACCTATAGAAAATATAGGGTACTGAAGTTCGTCGCCATTTCACAAGCGTGCACAAATTTAAGGTTTGACAAGTTGGATATCCATTTACTCGCTGCAACCTCATCTTTTATATTTTACAAAAAAATAGGGTAATGTATTGCTTTTTTGTGCCCTAAAATTACCTTGCTTATATTTTTTTACTAAAATTTTGCGGTAAAATCATGCTACATAAAAAATTGGAACTACCACTATTTTATTCTCTAGGGTCTCTGCTTTCACAAAATATATAATGTTAGGGGGTTTTATGTAATCTTCAGGCCTAAAACGATTTTTTGAACGTGTGCAAAAAACGCAAACATGGCTCTGGCAGTGAAAGGGATAAAGTATAAGCTCTGACCCCCCGCTAGTCGCTGGGTGCAGTGCTGGAGACAGGTAGGGAGGGGAGGAGGAGATAAACAGCACAATGTTAATAATATTACATGTTTAATTTGCAATAAAGCCCCCCCTTTTTTTTTTAAAAGCCCCTGACATTCCTAAAATCGCCTCCGATCTAAATGCGGTTTTGGTTAAAAAACATTTTTCTTTTTATCAGGACAAGTAGATTGTCATGAGGGACAAGCAGATTGGGAGCCCGACAAGTAGGTTTTTTTTTTTAAATTTTCCACACCCCCCTGCAGGGGATCCCCCTCTTCCTCCTCCTTCTTTTTTTTTTTTTTTTTTTTTTTATTTATATATATATATATATATATATATATATATATATATATATATACACATATATATATATATATATATATATACATATAAAATTAGAGGAGACAGCACACTGCGTCCAAGCATTGATATAACAAAGTGCTGTGTGAAGTGGTAGCAGTGCCGTCTCACTTCCTAATTCATTCCAGGCATGTGATCTGGGTACAAGACGTGGCACTTACAAAACAAGGATAGATTTCCAAGTCTCTACACGCAGCTGTGGCCACACCTTCAAACATTTGTGTTACTTGGCTGATATTTTTTCTGTAATTCCTATGTAGATTAATCCATCGCATCTTGTAAAACGATGGTAACTAATTATATATGTTTTTTTTTTTTTCTGTTTCTTGCAGTAACAGATCATTTGATGTTAATATCCAGGAACTGCAGAAGAAATACAGGGATCTCCAGAGGTCACTTCATCCAGACTACTTTAGTCAGAAGTCACAGGCATGTTCCAAAACTCAGCAATAAGTACCATAAAGACATGCTTTTTGGTTGATACTGCATATCTATATTTGCAGTTGGATGAAAAGGAAACTGAAAAGCATGGAGTATGCCATTGCTTACCTTTTTGCTCTGAAGATGCTAGTTTCCTAGCTTTTACATATGCAATAGCTTTGACAGTCTGAGACATTAAAGAGGAAGATAATCCTAACTCTTAACTATTCTTAAAAATGCTCTCTCCCCCTCCCACCCACCCTGCATACCCTTTCTAAGAAAAAAAATCTGTGTTCTTGCCAATTTTTAATTTGCTTTGGTCCAGTCATGTGATTCCCTGTGTCAGTGAGTGGCTGCTGCGGGGGAGAAAAGGCAGCGGCGACAATGGCTGGGCCATGGGATCCTATGGGGGATGTCATGGCTCTTGGAATTTACAGCCATTGTCAAGTGCTCCCTTACACATGGCTGGCCTGACCGGACCAGATTAGAAAAAAGGTAAGTGCACAGAGTTGAGGGAATATTTTGAAGAATACTGTAGTTGGTGAAAGCAACATTGACACCGGCGATTTAAGGGCAGTACAAATTGTAGCAGCAAGGATCTTCTGATTCCTGCTGTGGCTCTCGGCTAGGTGTGGCTGCTAGCCTGTTCAGTATAATGACAGGTCACCGGAGGCCGCAGCTATCTGTGGCTCTCTGCACAGCCAGAGATTACCTGCAGTGATCACTGCTGGACTTTGTGTGCATCCAGCAGCGATCACCACAGGTAATTGCTGGCTGTGCAGAGAGCCATAAGAGCTGCCATTGTTGACTTTGATATTATCGTGAATAGGGTCAGTGGCAGCACCCAGCCGATGAGAGTCGCAGCAGGAAATCGTGGTATCACGGTTAGCCATTCGCTCCCAATAGCAAGAAAGTGGGGAAAAGGGTTTGGTGTTTATACAGATTTGATATAGGTTTCTGTACCCCCCATGTCAGGAGATTCACTCTATTTGTACTGGTAAACGTTATCACCAGGAACAAGTGAACAGGGATAGAGAGGGAAAATATTCCAATGGTGATGACAGTACATTCTGAGTATTGATTAGGTGTCCTTTGAGGAGTCTTATCGCTACACAAAGGAGTGTGGTAGTATTTCAGCATTGAAGCTTGAATAGTTCCATGATCAAAAATGGGAAGGAATTTTTATTTTATTTTTATATTTTGAATGGTAAAATACTGAAAAAGAACTAGTGGTGCACCGAAATGAAAATTCTGGTACTGAAAATTCAAAATCCACTTGGCCAAAAACCAAAGTGCGCAGTTTTTAAAAATGAATATATATTTTTTGGAAAAAATACACTGATTAAAAAAATATATACCCCAATTTTTTTGTAAAATATGAAAGCGGATGTTACGGCTAGTAAATAAATACCCAACATGTCATGCTTTAAAATTGTGCATCCTCGTGGAATGGCGTGAAACTGCGGTACTTAAAAAATCTCCACGAGTGATGTTTTAAAAATTTCTACAGGTTAACAGTGTAAAGTTACAGAGGAGGTCTAGTGCAAGAATTACTGCTCTTGCTCTGACGTTCATGGCGATACCTCACTTGTGGGCATGGCCTACATATGCAATCACCACTACGTGCGAGCACGGGGGGACGGGGGCACTTTAAACTTTAAAAAAAAAAAAATTATTTAATGTTTTTTGGGTTTTTTTGCACTGTTCCTTTAAAATAAAAAATGTTAATCTCTTTTATTCTTATCACAAGAAATGTAAGCATCTCTTGTGATAGAAATAATTAGTGACAGATCCTCTTTATGGAGTGATATGGGGTCAATAAGACCCCATATCTCTTCTCTGCAATGAAAAGCAATGGATCAAAAAAAGCATTGATCTAGTGCTTTAAAAAAAAAAAAAAAAATGGCTGGAACGGGAAGTGACATCTATCACTGGAACTATGATTGACACTGCCAGTTATTCCAACAGTGCAATCAATGCTGCCAGTATAATAACCTTTCCTCAGCTCATCCTAATATTTAATTTACTGCCACCATGAGGATGCCCAGTTCAAATATCGGTCCTGGTAATGTGTTCTATATTCCCACTTCTTCTATAATCTTTTACTGCATATATCCCAGAGCAGGAAAGAAGTTAGACAGGACCCACATAGATTGTAAAGAATTGTCCCACTACTTCCATTAGATTATAGCGGATCTGAAAAGGGGAAGGTTATTCCCACCAATTTCTCTCTTTTAAGACTAGCCTATTTAGAGGTAAGTGACTATTGTCTAATTGTTCAAACTGTACTAGAACAATGGTTTTGTGATACCGAGCCTGATCCCAGGTGCTTGGTTGTTATTACAAAAAATTTAGAGCATTATTTTTTGTTATTCTGTATATGTATTTTGCTTGATCAAATCGCTTTGTTTAAATAAAGTTTATTGTTGCTTTCTATTTTAGCATGAGCGGGATATTTCTGATCAACAATCTTCTTTAGTTAACAAGGCGTACAATACCTTACTGTCTCCATTAAGCAGAGGAATATATCTGGTAAGTTCAATTCAGGAGACATCATTTTTTTTATTTTTTTTTTTTTTTTTTAACGTTTTAATTCTGACAGGTTTAGCAATTTTCACTAAATGTAAGGATCTGAGCTGATTTTTAAAAAAAAAATTATTTTAGAAGTATTTTACATAAAACGCATAAAAAGGCATGTAGACTTAACCACTTCAGCTCCGGAAAGGTTCCCCCCCCCCCCCCCCCCCCCCCCCCCCCCTTCCTGACCAGGCTATTTTTTGTTATTCAGCTCTGCGCTATTTCAACTGGTAATTGCATGGACATGCAACGCTGTACCCAGACAAAGTTGATGTCCTTTTTTCTTTTTTTTTTTTTTTTCACACTAATTGAGCTTTCTTATGGTGGTATTTGATCACCACTGGGTTTTTTATTTTTGTTTATATAAATGAAAATTTTGAAAAAAAATTATTGTATACTTTCGGTCATAAAAAAAAGATAAATATCCAATAAACTCAAAAGTTAGTAATAAATTTAGACCAAAATGTATTCTGCTACATGTCTTTGGTAAAAACAAAATCCCAATACGTGTATATTAATTGGTTTGTGTGAAAGTTATAGCATCTACAAACCATGGTATATATATTTGGAATTTACACAGCTTTTACTTTCTGACTGCCTATCACATTTCTTGAGGTGCTAAAATGCCAGGGCAGTACAACCACCCAAAAATTACCCCTTTTTGGAAAGTAGACACCCCAAGGAATTTGCTGAAAGGCATGTTGAGTCCGTGGAAGATTTTTTTTTTTTTTTTTTTTTTTTTTTGTCACACATTTTTGGAAAATGTTAAACTTTATTTCTTTTACACACAGTTGTCACCTAAATGATATATTGATCACTCATGCCATGGGTATATGTGGAATAACACCCCAGAACACATTCTGCTACTTCTCCCAACTCTGGGGATACCACATGTGAGAGACTTTTTGGCAGCCTAGCCACATACAGGCTGTCAGGCATGCCTTTTGAGCATGGGGGGCGGGGTGAGTTTTTTTTGTTTTTTTTCTCCCCCATCACTTGCATTGTTATCACAGGGAATGTAAATATTCCCTCTGATAGCAATAGGTAGTGACAGATCCTCTTTTTCTGAGAAATCTGGGGTCTATTAGACTCTAGTTCTTTCCTTCGCCCTTGGTGCATCTGATCACACCAAGATATCCCTTCCCACTGCTTGTAAAAGTGATCCAGCTGCTAATTAGCCGCTAGGATTGTTTTTACATGGAAGCCAACCACCAGCTGAAATAAACAATAGCTGCAGGCATCTCCCTGGTGTAACCACTCAAAGTCCAGTGATGTATCAGTGTGTTGCTGGTCCTTGTTGGGCTTATATGTAACAGCAGACAACATGGGCGTATGATTTATTGGGTCTGTGGACCAATATGACTGCAATTCATCCTTTTTTGTAATGCCCATGTTAAGGGTTAGGCCCAAAATAGTTTTAAATTCGGAAACCATGAAAGGTTTGCATACGAATTGTCTGGCAAGAGCTGAATTTGTGTGGGCGGCGATGTATTGTTAGGTGTATACATTGCCTTGGCCCACAATCGATGGTTTGTCCCACAATCGATTGATAAATCATCCCTGAAAAACAGCAGAGGGGCTAAACACTACTGCTGGCAGCAAATGGGGCTGATCCTGCTAACACTGCGTTTTGGGGACACTATATAAAGAAGGCACTAGTATAGTTCTGTTTGTGATCAATATATTGATCCATACAAACATACAAACACTATACTAGTAATGTCGGTGATCAGCAACCTATAGCATGAGTGCGACAGTGTGTGGGCAGCCTAACCCTAGCTGACCCTGGCTAGGAGGGATGCTAACTGACCCTGATGCTATCTGATGTCACTAGTGGCAGTAATACAGTGATCAGTGAAAAATTCTATATACTAACACTGTACTAATGGTACTAGCTGGGTGATCAAAGGGTTAATGGGGGCAATCAGAGGCTCAAATGCACTAATCTAACGTGTGTGTAAAATGTAGTGATTTTACTGCAGTGTGGTGTTCTCTCCCAAGACTGACGGGGGGGGGGGGGCAGCGACGCAAGGGTATGTTGCTTTGCCCAGAGCCGCCCAGGGTGGCAAGTAGTTAAAAATAAATAAGTTCTCAATATTTTAATTTTTTTTATTTTTTACTATTAAAAAATAAAATAAAAATTGTCATCAGTAATCCGTGTTACCATAGTAATGTTGTACTATTCTGGGGGTGATCGAGGATTTTTATTTTATTTTTTTTACACTTTACATTGCAAGAGCAAACAGATTATTGCTCCTGCAATGCTTGGTTTGAATGGGTTAAGTTCATGACAGTTCAAAACAGTGATCTGTCTTTAGCTATAGCTAATCACATGCTGCAGGGTGCTGTGATTGTATCATGTGAGAGCTGTAGGCCAATCACAGCCCACTAGGAAGAGAAGCAAAGCTGTTATGAATCAGATTGATTCATAACAGCTTTGCTAACATTGTGATCATGTGATCGCATACCGATCATATGATCACCTGGTCCCATTTACCAGGATCCGCATTCCACTTTGTCTGGTGGACACAGTGGTCGCAGCGGGGAGCCCCTCAGTGTTGGTACAGCCACAGCAAGGTACGGGTACATCACTGTGCTTGTAGCTGCCACCCGTCCGCAGTACATTGCGGATGGGAAGTGGTTAATAGGACATTGCAAAACTGTATTCAAAACCTGTAGCATACTTTTGAATTCACTGTTTATTACAGTGCCCCCTTAATATAGAAAGACTAAGTGCGCCACACTAATGTTCTTTTGGTAACTACAAGTCTGTTTGTTGTGGCAGATGGGACTTGTAGTTTATTCTCATCCACAGATCTCTGTGAATGAATGATGTGGTTGTGCAGGTGGAACTCCTAGTCTTCTGTCTACTGCATGCCAAGACCTCTGCCCAGACCTTACTACTCTTCAGCCTGCCAAGACCCAAAGAATCCTCTGATTACTGGTCTCCACACCATAGCCATCCCTGATTCTCAGGGCCATGACCTTTATAGTTGCAGCAAAGCAAACTGGGACCACCAGGGTCTCCGATTCATCTCCACCTTAAAGAGCTCTGGTGAAAACCAAACTGCCACTTATACTCCACGTTGTTGGTGAGCCCGTGTCACTTGTCAGAGGGCCACCATAACAATTTATACTATAATTTATGCACTATAGAGTTTCTTCTTTGGATGCGTTTACAGTAAAGAATGTAAAAAGAGAAAAAAAAAACTCGCCTCTTTAACCACTTGCCTACCGGGCACTTTTAACCCCTTCCTGCCCAGGCCAATTTTCAGCTTTCAGCACTGTTACACTTTGAATGACGATTGCACGGTCATGCAACACTGTACCCATATGAAATTTTTATCATTTTTTGAGACGTGTAGAGCTTTATTTTGGTGGTATTTAATCACCACTGGGTTTTTTTTTTCTTAATTTTTTGCTAAACAAACTAAAAATGGCTGAAATTTAAAAAAAAAAGTTTCTGTTATAAAATTTTGTAAATAAGTAATTTTTTCTCCTTCACTGATGTGTGCTAATGAGGCTGCAGTGATGGGCACTGATGAGGCATTGATAGGCGGTACTAGTGGGCGTGGACAGGCACCACTGGGCACTGAAAGGCAGCACTCATATATGGCACTGATAGGTGGTACTGATGGGCACTGGTATGTGGCATTGATGGGTGGCAATTATGGACACTGAAGTTGGCACTGAAAGGGCTGTACTGATAATCAGGGCACTGATGATCAGTGTACAGGTCCCCTCTGAGGAATGCCGTTTACCACCGGCTCTCCTCTGTCAGCGTGAGCAGAGGACTGCCGATACCCAGCATTTCCTGTTTACGTGCGATCAGGTGTGATTGGACATAGCTGATCTCGTTAGAGCCTGTGTCATCGGCTCTTTACTGTGATCGGTGATCCGCTGTATCCCAGGGACACAGCACACATATGACGTCCGCCCAGAACGAGAGAACCGCCTCCCTCCCTTCATTTCCTTATATGGCGGGCAGGAGGTGCTTAAAGGAAACCTTTTATGAGGGAAACATGGAGGCAGTTCTTGCTGGCTTTGTACTCTGCTGGTTGCCAGGCTGTCATGCTGTCATGCTGATCTGGTTTAAATCACCTACCTAAAAGAGTATCCTGACAAGGGCTTCTGACTCTGGTGTACATACTGATATATATATTTTTATTTCAGTTCATGACCTAGATCAAGTCAGTGGTTTATTATAACAGCTTGGCAACTTGCTACTTCAAAGTGACACTAAAGTCATATTTCTATAAAATAAATCTTCTATAAAAAAAAAAAATTTTTTTGCAGCTATTGTCAGACTTCCTGCCCTAGGGAGTCTACGTTGTTCTCCAAACCCCCCCTTGTGTATGTGAATTTAGCCACCCCTTCCTGCTGGCTCCCCGAGATGGACTACACATCTACATGGAGCTGCATACAGCTCTACAAGAATTATAATACACAGAGGGAAGCATGCAACCAGAAATAATGCGCAATCCTCGGGAGGATCGGGTGTATGTACAAGACAAAAAAAGACTGAAAATAACAGTTTGAGATTTTAGAAAAATAGAGCTGTGACATACTTGATATTTTAGAATGATTTATGTGAAGAAAAAAAGAAAATTTGTGTGTTTGTCACTTAAAGTGTTTATATTAACAGCTGACTTGAGACAGACAACTGTCCAAGTGTCCACAAGGAGCTCTGTTTCTCTTTGGACTATGGTGTGAGAGTTCTTATAATTGTCATTTCATGGTTTTCCTAGATTCTCTAACATCCGTGAGCTCATTCAGAAATTCAGAGAACAGCGCACAAAGCGTGGTAACCAGTGACATGCAGCTTTCATTGTTGAATGCTGTACGCTGACAAGAAATGAAAACTGACAGGCTGTTTATGGGTGCTGCAGTTTTATTTGGCTGCAGATATGAGATGATAGTTGCCGGATCTAGCCATTTTCAGACAGATTATATATTCTGTAAATTCATTATTGCTTGTCCCTTTGTTTGGCACAGTTAGGTCTTCACGGCATTACTTTTACAGAAGGGACAGAGGGAGGCATGGATGCACCATTTCTGTTTGAAATCCTAGAAGTCAATGAACAACTTAATGAAACAACTACTGATGCTGAAATTGAAGAAATTGGAAAGGTTGTACAAGGTAACTTTTTTTTTTTTTTTTTTTTTTTTTTTTTTTTTTTTTTCTTCAATACAGTGAATTGCAGTATGAATAACCTGCACACCTAAATAGTCTATAGAGTTCTGATTATTGCTAACTTTCACACAGTCTCATACTGATAACGCTGGTTTTTTTTTTCTCCAATCATCTTCCAGGACGGCATACCCGAAGTAGGCCTGCTGTCCTAAAAGATTTCCTAGAAACACCATTATCGGCAAATGTAACTGGTATTTTTCTCCAGCCATCTTCCAGGATGGCAGGCCTACTTCGGATGTGCCGTACTGGAAGATTTCCTAGAAACACCGTTACGGTAAGTGTAACTGTTTATTAATTTTTTTTCGTAATCTTTGATTGCTTAGTAAAGCGTTTATCGATTATTAATAGGAAGCTTAACTACTTCCTGACCGCCCTATGGCAGAAATACTGCTACAAGATGACACAGGTCTTTTTTTTTTTCTTTTTTTTTTTTTTAATAGTGCAAAAAATAAAAAACACACAGGCAATCAAATACCACCGAAAGAAAGCTCAGTTCGTGGGGGAAGAAAATTATGTAAATTTCATTTGGGTGCAGAGATGCATGACTGCGCAATTGTCAGTTAAAGTAACGCAAAAAATGGCCTGGTCAGGAAGGGGGGTAAATCCTCTGGACGGCAAGTGGTTAAGTTCTTACTCTTTCAGCTGTACTGTGAAATTGGTGTGTGGTTTGTTGTGTGATTATATTTATTTATATCCCCACAACAAGAAGTGAGGGGAAATCTTTCCAAGTGCAATAAAACCTGAAAAAGTTTAAACACTGGCAAAATGTGCCTGCAATTCAAGATAGCTGATAAAGGTGGGGAATTTTAGAGATCTGGGTCCAACGCGCAGTCATTCCTCCAAAGTACATTCTTTGTGGGAAAAGAAAGAAAGAAAAACCACAAGGACAGTCAACTTTACCAATAGGGGAGCATGACCATAAGTCAAATGTAAATAATGCTGAACACTTACTTGTGTGTCAAATACAATAGAGATGATTTTTTTTTTTTTTTTTGTGTTTTTTTTTTCACCATATTTCAAGACGACAATGTCACTTAAGGCACACTACACCTGCCGTGTGTACAGGCTAACAGTCCTAGTGCAAGTAAAGTCAGCATTCAATGGACTTTATTAATTGAAGTGCCAATTGCACCTTACCAAACTCCTCAACTTCATTTATATCCCAGTGCTCTTACACTGTAGTTCACCACAATGCACATACTGTGTGTTGGGGTGAGTTAAATAACTGATCAGGCCATTTCCATGCTTTGGCAGCCTCTACGTTATAAATGAGTGTCTTTAAAAGAGAATTATGGCTTTGGGGTTTTTTGGCAAATTATACTTAACTAGGTGTCCTTTGATGGCTCTAAGTGTGAGAACTCTGTGATCACATGACTGCTGATCGCTGAGTTCTCACAGCTGCTGTTTGAGCTTTGGTTGTACTTCTCCTATAAGGTAGTGCACATTAACAAATGACCTTATGTACCGTACCGTGACACCCAAAAAAAAGTTACTGAGCCTTTACCGGAGAGTTGAGGGGTCCGTCAGGTTATAAATGTCAGTTTGATCAATAAGGTTTATTGAACGTCGACTAACTTTGGTGTGACTTTACTGTACTGCAACTGAAGGTGGTTAGTCTATATTAGTAAAATGAAGCACTAGGATTTCAGAAAGTTTCAAGTATTGCTGATGGTTATTGAAAGCTTGCTAGCAACTTGTTTTAAAGTGACAGTCAGCATTTCAGTTATAGGCTGTGTTTAACTTCCTCAAATTGGAGCTGAAGCTGCTCAAAACTTGCTGATTGCGTTGTAAACGGTTTGCGAACATTTTATTTGCACAGTGCTATTTATACAAGATGAAGTCTGTTTGAGCAAGGCTTTACAGTACAATATTTTATATTTGTACACTGTCACAAGAGATTGCTTCTCTCAGGTTTGAGGACAAGCTGATTTAATCTAGTTACTGTTCTAAAATAAGACCATATATGTAGTATAAAATAGTGCAATGCTGGCTTTGTGATGATCTTGCAAGTAAATTGTTAATTTTTTTGTTTTTGTGTTTTTCTTTTTGTTTTTGTTTTTTTCAGAAAAATGTCAGATGTTGACTGAAAATGTCAAAGATGCCTTTCAGAAAGGTAATGATGCCTTTAGTGTAATTGTATCTTTAAATTGATACTGATTTTATTTATTTTGTATTTACATGATTGCAGTGCAGGGAATTCTAATATGAAGCTGCTGATACCCTCCTCCATTCTATATGTGAAAAACAGTTCCAAATATTTCAAAGTAACCCATGCCACACATACAACACTTGTTAAAGGCACCTTTTGCAGGGGAAACAAAATTGCATTGAAAGTTATTTATTTTATTTTTTTGCATTGGAGCCTGCAAATCATTGCTACTATGAACAGTGGATTGAAGGTGCAATGTTCAGGCTATTCCTCCAGCTGAGGTTTGTGCTTAGATACAGATTTTATAGGGTTGGAGGAAGTATCAATGGACTACAGTTGCATTGACATCACAGCACTTTTGCTCCAAGGAGTTCTGAAAGTCCCACTGTTGTGGTTGCACATGGCATTTGTGGTATTTTCATTCACAGATCCTTTGAATAAATGACGTGGCTATGCAAATAGAGCCACACAGAGCCGCTCCGAATTCAAAAATACAGTGGATGCCTACTGTATTGTGTCCATCCTGGTCATTATCCCTCAGAGTGTGGGACAGGCTGGCCAGGGCTCACAATTTTAATCCCAACACAACCCCCTGGCACCCCTTCATGGGAATCTGGATTTCACCCCGGGCATCACCTGGGGGTTATGCACATCGCAGACCTGTGTGATCATAGGGGACCACTGCCAAAGCAAGTTTTGGTAGAAAAGTTTCAGATGTCAGAGGCTGAAAGTTTCTTCATGAATTTAAATGAATATGAAGTTAGTTTCAGCCAATAGGCTGCTTTCACACTGAGCTGTTTTTTGCAGCACTTTTCAAGGTTTAAAAAAGAAAAATGCATCCCTTTAAATTCAATGTATTTCTTTACACTGATCCGTTGCACTTCCCTTGCGGTGTTAAAATTCCTGCTTGGTGCATATTTGGCTTGTTAGAAGAAAAAAAAACGCACCTCCCCATTGAGGCCTGGTTACACCAATGCGTTTTTAGGGCTTTTTGCAGAAACACACTACAGTCCATGTGGCATGGTTTCCTATAGGATTTTTTTTTTTTTTTTTTTTTTTTTGTAAGCTGCTGCATTTTTTTTGAAAGGGTGAAGGAATTTTTAATGTGAAATGTTGCTTTTTTGGTTCAATAGAGATGCTGCAGAAAATGCATGTAATGCGGTTTTGACACGTTTTCATGCAGTTGCCATGCTTTTTATGCACAAAACGCATCAAATGTGCATATAAAAACACAACACTCTGCAAAACAGACAAAATGCAAACTGCATTGGTGTGAACCAGGACTGAAATGTTTCAAAACACATCAAAAACTCACACGTTTTGCTTTTTTTTATGCCTTTTGCGGTTTTTAATCTGCCAGCAACAAGTTAGCCAAAAAAAAAATTAAAAAAAACACAAACCGCATCAAAAAATGCACCAAAAATGTGCGTGCAAAAACGCAAACTGCATTGGTGTGAACCAGGCCTGAAATGCATCATAAACACGTAAAAACAGCACTTTTTTTATTTGCCCAGTTGTCCAAACCCCCCCCCCCCCCACAAAAATGCGCATGCAAAATTGCACATGCCAAAACACAAAACGTACGGCAAAATGGACAAAACACGTGTTGCTTTTTAGCATGGTTTTTTTTTTTTTTTTTTTTTTTTTTTTTTTTTTTTCAGTCACATGATCTATGAAAAAATCACTTCCAAGTGTGGTAAAAATGTGTGTTTTTTTCTGCGACTATTATCAGCCCCTTTTTTCCTATTGGCAAAATGCCGATACCACTATTGTTGGCCAATACATTTTGGCTGCTGATATTTCCCTACTTTTAAATTATGCTATTAATTTAGAGTGACCTTGTCACAAAAAAAACTAATAATCCAGGCAGCTCCACCCTGTAATAGAAGAGGCTGAATACTTACCTCTTTTGGCAGCAATGCAAAACATCCATTTGGTGTGTTAGCAGGTATTCTAATAGCTACCTCTTTCTGTTTTTAGATGATCTTCAAGGTGCCAAAAAGTTCTTGACGAAAATGAAATACTATACGAATATTCTTGAACAAGTAAAGAAGAAAATAATTCCGTAACTGCTTTTCACCAGCACCTGCTACTTAGAAAATGGAATAATGTTCTTCATGCCTCATACTGCACTAAAGGAGAACTGCATTGAGACTGTATTTTAGCCCCCAATTACTGCCTTTAATATATATAGTATATATATTTTGATGCACTAGTAGAATATAATGGTACAGTCACTGTTCATGACAGATTTCAGTACTATTGACCGGTTGATTTGCCAGCTTTGTAGTCAAATAGAACAGAGCGGACTGTTGCCATGGGAGCGGGTGACGTGATATTATGGTTGGTAAATGTTTGAGGGCCTATGCTCACTATGCTGTTCAGGTGCAAGTTGTCACACTTTGATTTGTATTGTATTAACCACTTGCTCTCCAGAGGGTTTACCCCCCCCCCCTTCCTGACCAGGTCTTTTTTTGCGATACCACGTTGCGTTGCTTTACAATTGCGCGGTCATGCAACGCTGTACATAAAATTTAATGTCCGTTATTTCCCCACAAATGGAGCTTTCTTTCGGTGGTATTTGATCACCAGTGTGTTTTTTTTTTTTTTTTTTTTTTTTTGTTTTTTTTTGGTTTGGTTTTTTTGCACTATAAACAAAAAAGACCGACCGCTTTGAAAAAAAACCTGAAATTTTTGACTTTTTGCTATAAAACAAGTCCAGTAAAAAAATTTTAAAATCTAATTTTGTCATGAATTTAGGCCAAAATGTATTCTGCTATATGTCTGCTAAAAAAAAAAAATCCCAATACATGTAAATTATTGGTTTACGTGAAAGTTGTAGCATCTACAAATGGCGGTATATATACTGGGATTTTATTTATTTTATATACTAGTAATGGCAGCAATCAGCAACTTATGGCGGGACTGCGGCGGGAATTCTGACACTGGGTGGGAACTGACTAACTACCAATGACACTAATACAGTGATTAGTGCTAATAAAAAGCACTGACACTATGCAGGAAGGGGTTTTACAATCTGGGGTGATCAAAGGGTTAACTGTGCTGTGTGTGTTTTTACTAGGGAAACATGCTGCTGTGTATTTCTCTACTGTGCAGAGAAATACACAGTAGCATGTTATTGCTGGCAGGAGAGAGACCTTTGTTGTCTACACACAGGTCTCTCCCCTGTCACTGTTTCTCGGCAATTGCCAGGTGCAGGCAGGGAATCTCCGGCCGGGACTCGGTGATCAACATCTGTAACTGCTAATGGCAGCGCAGGTAAGGTGGTGTGCGCGTCCTCTACCCAGGAATGCAAATCACATATACATGATTTTGTGCTGCCTTGTAGCAGTATTTCTGATATAAGGCGGCGGGGAAGCGGTTAAGGCAGACTCTGGACAAAAAATGGACAGGGATAATTTTTTCCAATGTAGCATATCACAAAGCATGGTAGTCTAATACCTTGCATGTTAACATGAAAAGTGTGTTGCATTAGCATGTTGCGGTGAAATCCATTTTGAATTGCACCACAATGTACTAATGCGTTGATTATAGTGAACTACCATGAAAGTGGAAATGGGCCCTGAGATTCTAACTGTTCAGAGGGTGCTCTATTATTATGGACGATGTTATCGTAGAAAATGATATCCTCTACAATACGTGTGTGTGTGTATATAGGTGTGTATGTGTTTTTTTTTTTTTTTCTTCTTTTTATTATGCTGTTCAATAATATATAATTTAAATTATATTTTAAGACACTTTTTGTTTTTGTTTTTTATTGGCTTTTTAATGTTTGTTTGGAACTGCATAATACAGATGGACATAATTTTGAATGACTATTATGACCACTGTTTTCATTGGGTATCCAGGAAATTATTGGCCACTCTCTAGAAGGGTCAGATTATTCAAGACTGATATTTCAGTTTGCAGTAAATGCTGGCGATTTAAACCATTTTATAGTTCTCAAATCTCCAGTGATGGCCTTGGTTGTGTTCCTTGTGTGTGTGTGTTTGTTTGTTGTTGATAGGAATCAGCCTATGTCTGTAGCCCATAATGTCCTCGTTATTTTCACTGCCAGGCTTGGGAGAAATAAAGCTCCAGACACCAAAGTGTGCAAGCTAAATATCTGAAAGTTCAATGCAAGACAAAAACTGTTATACAGAACTCCGTAGGCGTTGCTTAATCTTAGGATGACCAATGAAACATTCCATCTTATCAATTAGTTACGTGAAGAACTAAAATGAGGGATACCTTTTATAAAGTAGTTCCGTTCCATCAGAAATGAAACTATTCTCAGAAAACGAGAGAGAAAGTTACAAGCGAAACTAACTTCACACAAATAGAGATGGAGGCGTTATACAGAAATGGATGCCAGTTAATAAGACCTCTCCTTACAGTTGTTTGTTTTTTTTAAATAACCTTCTTAGGCTTCATGCACACGGCATTTGCCCAGCTTTTCTGAGTGCCTCCTGGCAGGACAAAAGAAGCTTAAAAATGTGTTTTAGGTGTGTCAGACATTTGGGCGTTCATTCTATTGGCCAGAATATTCACTCTGGACATTGAAATAAATGAATGCCCAGATGCTTAACACGTTTAGGTGTGTTTACAAGTTAAAAATAATGTGCAACGCTAAAATAAATAGGTACATGTAAACATCAAAAAATGATCAAAATGAATCGTTCATAAAGTGACTATCAGTGCACGTAGGAATCCTGCGATCATCTAAAATTCGGTGCTTGTCCAATCAGGTATGGGAGAAATGCGCTCTCACCGGAACGCATACTGAAATGCGCATTAGTGTATTAAATCCTGATGTCATCAAGGTCATCCAAATCTGGGCAGGGATGGGGTTGAGTCCCTCACAGGATGGATATGGGTCCTGGGGCCTCTCATGTAGAAAGGAAGAGTGCCAGAGATCCCTTTTAAGGGATGGATGGGTACAGCTCGCCAGATGTACAGGGGGCTCCCTCTCTGGAAACTGGGTGCTGGGTAATTTGCAAATTAATACTCCCCAGGGGCGTTAAAGTAGAAAAGTACCCATAGTGTAGTATTACATCCAGGTATGAACATCAAATATCCAGGTAAAAAAGACAAGCATCCAGGTAAAGTGACTGTATGCAGTGAAGGCAATGGGACTAACCGTACTAGATCAAAGATGGCCGCCGGAGCTCCACATTGCTCTGGCGGCGTGACGTCACGGCATTATTGGCTCCTACGCGTTTCGTGCATCCTCGGGGGGGAGAAGCCAATCAAGTGTTTACAAGCGGTATCATTTAGGCGCACCAAGTGTTTTAATTTTTTTTTTTTTTTCTGCTCAAATATTCCTCTCCTGAACCTGCAAGTGATGTTTGGGTCTTGTTTTGCCTCTAAACACTCCTTTTCTTCTAATACTCCTGTAAACGCCTATATGTTAATTGACACATAGGCTAACAGAGGGCTGTTTTGAGGCTCTATGCACACTAGCATTTTTTATACGCTCAAGAAAAGCACACAAAAGGGGGGTGCTCATGAGCAGCAGCCAGGATGACTGCCTTTTGAATTTCTCCCTTGGCTGCCGGACACATCGGCCGATTTCTGACCCTCAGGGGGGGTCCCCCTGCTTGGTCCTCCAGGTACCCCAATGGGCAAAAAACACCGGCCGCCCCAGCACCCGGCGGGCTGCGCCGGATTTTGCGGCCTACACGCCGGAGGTCGCGGCTGAAGCCGCGGCCTCGGTTTTGGGCCGGCCGCCAGAGGCTTCCAGGACCCCGGCCGCGAGTTCACGGCTCCTGCCAGAGGCTGCAAATGAAGCCCCGGCCACGATTTCGGGTCCCTGCCGCCGCTACCCGCGAATCCTAGGGGTATGGAAGACTTGGCAGCACAGACATCCCTGCAGTCTCCCATTCCATCCTTGCGGGATGCTGAGCTCCTGCGCCGCTTCAAGGCCATGCTGCAGGTGGAATTGTCCTCCGCTACCTCCAAGCTGGCCGACCGTCTTTTGTGAGAAATTCAGGAATTGGGCAACCGGACGAAGGATCTCGAGGATAGAATGGACGCTGCAGACACAATTATTGAAAATGACGAACAGGATTTGTGCAACCTCAAGAAAGAATTGGCGAACGCGATGCTACGGCTTCAGGATTTCGAAAACCGTTCCTGCCGTGGCAATTTGCGACTAAGGGGTATCCCGGAAATGGTCGCAGATCTCACTTCCACCGCTACTGTTCTGTTTCAGGAGCTGATGCCCACTATCCCCATTGACCGGCTCGAATTTGACCGCATACATCGTGCATTGGGCCCCAGTTTTTACTGTTTATTACCGCACTAAGGAAACTATCATCTTGGCGGCCAGAAACAACCCTGATCTCAGCTTCCAGGGGCATCGCTACCAGCTCTTCGTGGACCTCTATGACCACTCTTCAGAAACGCCGCCAGTTGAAGCCCTTCACTTCAGTCCTGGTGAAACGCAGTATTAAATACGCATGGGGCTTTCCATTCCGCCTCACCTTCAACTACCAGGGCCGCAGTCACTCTGTTGCTACGCCGGAGGAGGCCCATTCTCTTGGAATCTTTTACACCTTCTTTTGCCGGAAGCTGCTGATCAGAGCCCAGCTCATTCATCTGGATCTCCGGCGAGGCCACTTCCTCCGGGCCACATCTGGGAGCGGTCGTCCAACAGGAAGAGGGCCCTCCCTCAGACCCCTTCGCGATCAAGTCCTTCCTGTTCTTCTCCAGGCTGAAGATGCATTTTGGACCTCCCACGTATCGTTTCACCGATGGACTTCTCTGCGGGACCGTGAGTTTTGGCCCTTGGGCTTTCCCGGTTTGTTAGCATTCCAGGTTGGGACTAATCCAGCTTGCTCCCTTGGGTTCCATCACCGATTGGGGGTTGGGTCTCCTCCTGGACTTAAGGATTATGACTTTCTGCTATTGCAGCCTGTTTTGGGTCTGGGTGATGTCATTCGGGTCTCCGTTGGTGGCATAGGGTGATGGTTCTCCTTGGGCCCTGGGGTGGGCGGTTGACCTGGTAGACCCGGTTGGGTGGGAGGCGGTTGGCCCCCATGGTTCTCCAGGTTTCTATGGGGAGGTC